GGGGACAGACACTGGGTCCTTGTCACCCCCACTGCAGCTGCAGCCTCCAGTGCTGACCCCAGAAGCTCTGACCCCAGAGACCTCCAGCCCAGCAAGACACGGGGATAGGGAAGGGCCGGGCAGACGTGGCTCAGGCCGAATGGTCACATTCTTGTGTGTCACACACGCTCATGTCTGTCACTGCTTCGTATACGAGCAGTTTTGGAGTCCAGGGTTCAGTGGGTAGAGAGTGACGGCTTATCAGGCAAGGAGCTTTGGTGGCACGTGCCTGTGGTCCAGCGCTCAGTGGGTGATATCAGATGAGGAGGAGGGGTCTAAGGTCATCCTTGGCTACACAGCAAATCTGAGGTCAACCTGGTATACCACAGCCAACCCACCCACACAATTTAAAAATAACCAACAGGTTTTGACCCGAGTCATTGTTAACAATCCCTGCTTCGGCTAAGACCTTCTGCAAGTTTCCTGAAAACATGGCCATGCCCCTTCTCCCCATCAGCCACTGGCAGTCACTCTGAGGTTTGCCGAAGCCCTGGCCCCCCAGTCAGAACACCTTCTGCACCCTGAGGGGGACAGTAAGCCAGTGAGGATGGTGATTGGCATCTGATGAGCCCTGGACACAGCTCAACACCTCCATCTCACACCTCCAGTTTCCATGGCTCCACCCCTACCTCACCTCCCTCCAATCACCAGGTAGCAGCCACCCCCTCTTTCCCTGCTCTGAGTGTGCCCAGTGGATCCCACACAGCACTCCACCCCAGGACCTCTGCACTTCCTGACCCTGTGACTCTGATCTCCACTACCTAATATGTAATACCTAATCACATGAGGCCACAACATGTCTGTCTATCTTGGGGGTGGTCTTCATGTAGCCCAGGCTGGCCTTGAGTTCATTATGAAACCAAAGATGGCCTTGAACCCCTGATCTTCTGCCTCTGCTCCCCAGTGCTGGATGACAGGCATGCTCTACATACCTGATTTCTGGTCTTCCGGGTGCTGGGGACAGAACCCAGAGCTCTGTGTGCGCCAGGCAAACGCTCTATCCACTGAGCCCTAGCCTGTCCCTCTACCTACCTTACAGTTTTATTACTTAATATATACGAATGTTCTGCCTGCATCCATCTGTGTATCATATGCATGCCTGGTGCCCATGGAGATCAGAGGACAGATCCCCTGGAGCTGGAGCTGGAGCAGGTTGTGTGGGGATGGGAACCAAACCCAGGTTCTCTCCAAAAGCAGCAAGTGCTCTTAACCCTGAGCCCTCTCTCCAGCTCCATTCTACCTATTTTTAACGGCTGAATAATATTCCTTGAGTTAATCAGTGAGTCCTCGTGATGCACGACCCAGCAGCAGCGGTTCCTGGGTCTACAAGGAATTAGGAGCGGTCAGTCATCTTGGCAGGAAATCACAGGATTCACTAGGACCCAAAAGAAGAAGACAGAGTTGCCAGGGTGCTGGGCAGGGTGGCAGAACCTGCTAGGCCCACACCTCCTATGACAGGAATGTGGCTGTAAGAAAGAGCTGAGGTGCAGAGGGCTGGTCCTGGGGACTGAGTTCAAGGCCTGGCATGACAGCCAGGCCAGCCCGCCTCCCGGTGACTTCCTTCCAGACATCACAGTGTTGGCAGCTGAAAGGTGGTGATTTCAGATGTCAAAGCTGCCCTGCCCATTGGGCTGGCCACCCAGCAAACTCATGGTCACCATGATGCCCAAGGCGGGAAGTGGGGTGGGAAGAGAACACTCAACACTGGCAGTGAGGTTAAAATTCCAGCGGCTATCTTTTTGTAGCTGGGATCATGGTACAAATGAATGTGGTCCTGAGTGAATCCCCAACACTGCAGTCCATAGGGCACTGGGCAGAACCCCAGAGGAGACGGGAGCCTTAACCACTGTCATTTCCAGTATGGAGACAAATGGCATCCATACAGAAGGGTGGGGTATCATGGGAGCTGCTGATGGCCCCTGGGTCAGCTGGAGGGCTTCACAACCTGAGTGCCCAGCTGCTGCTCACTAGTGGAACAGCAAGGCGTGGGGGAAATGGACATGGAGGTCCACGGGGAGCTGGACTTGGCCACCTCGGGTATCAGGAACAATCTACAAAGGAGCAGCATCACCTGTGCACACATGAATACTGGGCAGTCCCACCCAGAACTGAAATTCCAGTAAAGGGTAGGGGTGGGGGGAGGGGGGCAGACACGCCTTTAATCCCAGCACTCAAGAGGCAGAGGCAGGCAGATTTCTGTGAGTTTAAAGCCAGCCTGGTTTACAGAGCGAGTTCCAGAACAGCCTGGTCTACAGAGTGAGACCCTGGCTCAAAAAATACAGGTAAATAAAAAGAAGCTGGGCGAGGAGGCCTGGGCAGCAGCAGAATGCTTGCCTGGCATATGCAAAGCCCTACACCTCAACTAACAAGTAGTCAGGACAAGGAAAGAAAGAAACAAAACATATACCATGCGATTTCTTATAGCTAAGGATTTAACAAGCCAAGCAATTATTAGTTTATAGAGGAACTAATTAATATATGAATATATTAGTTACATCAGTTAGCACATCTGAATATTGAATCACCAGTGGGACGGGGAGGGAGCTTGCTGCCAAGCCTGAAAGCCCTTGTTTGATTCCTAAGACCCACAGGAAGGAAAGAACCAACTCTTGTAAGTTGTCCACCGACCTCCACACGTGCACACGAGGTGATGCCCACACACTGAAATAATAAAACTTGAAAAAATACCACTACTAATGCAATTTAAGGCACCAGGGACCCTTCGTGCAGCAAGAGAATTATGAGCTATATTTTAAAGGCCGAGTGTGGTGACCTTGTTCACAGCCCTGTAGTGGCTCCAGGGCTCACGAGTCCGCAGGGACCCACCTGACAGGCAGTAGAACTTTGTAACATTTTGTTAAGCTGTCACTGATTCAAAGTATCCACCATCTGCTCCCTGGCTCCCGCCCCTCAGTGTGTCCTCCGGCGCTGGTGGACAAGCCGGCCTGACTCTTTTCCCTGAGGCCGGAGCTCTTCTTCAGCTTCTCCAGTGGGAGTGGGTGAGTGGCCACACCCGGGTGGATTTTTCCAGTCCATTCCAGTCCTTGAACCCCAGCCGGAGGAAGGACAGGGACAGCCTCCAAACTCAGTCAGGGCCCTCCCCTCAAACAAGCACCCTCCACAGACTGGCCAAAGGGGTTAAAAAGACAGACAGGAAAGGTTTCTAAAAAGCCCTGTGTCATTATTTTATTATTATACCATGGTCGCTCAGGAAGTATCTTTACTTCACTTCAAAGCTCATTGCAGAGCCAGGGGAGGCTCGGCAGGGGAGGACTCTGGTCACCAGGACTGCTGACCCGAGGTGCTGGGACCCACGTGGGGGGGGGCACCCGGGTAGCCACACACAACAAATAAACGCATGTAAAAAGTTCAACAGAAAAGTGAATCACTTGACAATAATCATCTGATCCCTTAAGACCTACAGGCAGTTAAGGCGACTACTGCTGAGGAAGGAGCCATTGTCCTCGGACTGTCAGGTGGCCCCCGCTCCCCAGAGCAACCCCAACTGAACCCACCCTCTTCAAGGAAAAAAAGGCAAAAAGTAGAAGAGGGACAGGGTAGCAAGAGGAGGGGTCATCAGGAGGGGGAGGGAGTAAGAGAGGTGAGTGGTAGGAGGTATGATCAGATCACACAGGGAAAGGTCAGAGGCCAAGTTGTGCACAAGTGATTCATGCTAATAGTTATTTGACAACCAATCATGGTAGGATTTCCCTCGGCGGAACAGGATTCCCGTGTAAAACTTCGAGCAAAGCAAGGCAACGACTAGGGACGGGAGTGCCCCCCGGACGCGCTGGAGTAGGGGTAAGGTCTCTGCAGAGGAGCGGCCAGCTGCTTTCGCAGCGCACCGCCCCCTCCCCCTCCGCGGCCGGCACCCCCCCGGGGTCTGCCCGGGGCTGCTGAGCTCCCGCCTGGGGCTGGCCCAGGAAACAACCGCTGCTCTGGCGAATCCCGATTGCGAACGCGGACGCGGCCCATGGGGAGGGGCGAGGAGAGACACGGGTGTTTTGGGGTGTGCGTGCGTGTGCACGGGTGGGGTCCACACGCACCCTCCCGGCTTCCCGGCTCTTTCTGCAAACGGTTCACACAATGTTTTCTTTCGGGAAAGTTTTCTGGATTGCGGATCCCGGCAGCGAAGAGGAAGCTGCCGGTGCGCGTGAGCTTCCCGGGACGGCGTGGGAAAGGACTGCGGGCCCCGGGACACCCCCCAAAGGCAGTGCTGTGGGGTTCCACGCGGCGGGGGAGGGGGTCCGAGGATCTGGGGCGCCGGGGAGTTTGGGGTGGACAATAGAGTGCGAAGTGGGGAGGAATCCTTTCCAGAACAAACGCTCTATTTTGGTCAAAGCACAAGAAAGGGGTGTCGGGGGCGGTGCCCTCAAATCCAGTGTGTCTGAGTCAAGAGGAAACCGGACGCTCGGAACTTAGGGGGCAAACAAGAGGGTACCCTCGGAGTCAAGTTCAGGGATGACAGCCGGGATCCCAGGGTACCCCGATTTCAGAGGTATAAAGGGGAGACGATGCCCCTGGGTTTTCAGACTTGGGTGGCTCTGTGGGAGCCCCCAATCCAGGCTTTGGGTGATGACAGTAGGGAGCAGATTTGGGGAAGCCCCCCAATCCAGGCTTTGAGGGTAATGAGAGTGAGGAGCTACTTTGGGGGCGCCTCAGCGCTCCAGGAGCTTCTGGGTAAAAACAAGAGACAAGGGGGTCTTCTGGAGTCCCCGCCCCTCAAAGTTAGACTTAGTACGTCAAACCCGGCAAGAGATCGCTACACTTCACAAACTTTGGAGAGTGTGAGCGGGGTTCCCCCCAGCCCAGGGCTCCCTCAAATCAGAGGTGCGGATCAGAAGTGGACGAGGTTGGCGTCTGCAAAGTTGGGGCGCTGGGTCCCGCCACGCCCGCCCCCGAGACCCCCCCAGCGGAGTCCCCGCCCGCCGCCGCCCCCCGCCGGGGCCCGCACCGCTCACCTGGAGTTCGGCGGGGAGTTCGGGTAGCGGCTCCCGCGGCGGCGGCCGCTGCGTGTCGCTCCGCGTTGGCAAGTAACAGTCTCCACGGCTACAGTCTCTATGGCGGCGGCGGTGGCGGCGCCGGCCGCTCCTCCTCCGGCTCCCGCCGCCCGCCCGCCCGCACCTAGCGCCCGCCCGCTTCGGCCTCGCGCAGCCCTCGCGGGGCGGGGCGTTGCGCCCGGCAACGGTTACCAGGCTGCACGCCCCGCCCCCCCAACGGCCCGCCCATGCCCGCCTCCAACGGCCTCGGGGAGGGCGGGCGCTCTTTCCATTGGCTGCTCATGGTGCCCGTCAGGGATGAAGGGTAGCTCCTCGAGTAGAAGCTTGGCCAATCGCTGTGGGGAAGGGTGGGGCCTGGCGGGAGGCGCGCGGCTCTGGGTTGGTTCGAAGGAGGCGCGCGAGGGCCGGCGGGCGGCGCGCGTGGAGGCAGCGCGTTTTTCCGAGTTGCCGTGACTCTGCCAGACGCAGAGGCGCTGACCATCTAAGGGGAGCAGCGGACTCCGGCTTTCCGCCGGTTCTTTCCCAGTCCACAGACTGAAAACATTTTCCTTTTTGGAAAGGTTTTTGTTGGTGAGTCTGCGTGCAATGCCCACGGAGGCCCGAAGAGGGCGTCGGCTCGCCTGGCGCCGGAGTGACAGGTGGCTGTGAAGCTTGCACCTGAACTCGGGTCCTCAGCAAGAATAGCAGTTGCTCTTCACCTGGAGCCTCCTCTCCAGCCTACATCCTGTTTTTGCGTTTGTTGTTGTTGTTTGAGTGTGCTGTACCCAAAATCACTGTAGCGGAAGCTGCGCTCCAACTCCTGATCCTCCTGCCTCCTCCTCCCTAGTGCTGGGATGAGGGGTGTGCGCTAAGCTGACCTCCCCACTCTTACACACACACACACACACACACACACACACACACACACACACACACACACATTACATATGTTATGAACAGGTCAAAACGTGGGAACTTCACAGCTTTTAGTTTGGTGGTGAGACACTGACAATTAAGGACACAGCTGTGAGAAGGGGCAGGCAGGTGATTCAGGGGCCCCTCCCACCTTGGCTTCATTCATTCATTCATTCACTCACTCACTGAACAGGCAATTGCACCAGTGAACAATGGCTCACTTGTGCTTATGTGCCCAAAGCGATCTAAGCTTTACTTTTTCTTTGAGGCAGGTTCTTGCTTAGTAGCCTAAGCTAGACTAGATCCCCCCATGTAGGCAGGCTGACTCCAGCTCATGACCTTTCTGCCTCAGGCCCTCTGACTGCTGGAGTGACAGGCATGTACCACCAAGCATTTTTGAACAGTCAGATCCTGAGAAAGACCATAGACTCTGTGCCCAGGGCTGAAGTTTCCAAAATAAATACATCTGAGGAACTGGAAGCCTAGGGCCATGGCACCAGGCTGTACCCAGTCCCCACAAACTCACCTGCAACTGCTCTTGCAGGCTGTCACTGAGGAGAGAACAAGACTGTGTTTTGACCAAACTGTGACCCTTCAGCAGTCAACTGCTTTGTAGACTAAGGATTGTGTTCCCAAGGGTCCGTGGGTTGGAAGCTGGGTCCTCGGCAAGGAGACTCTGGGAAGTGGTGCCTGGAACACTTGAGGGCAGGAAGGAAGGAAAGAGGGATGTCTCATCTCAGAGTCCCGAGCCTCTCACTAGGATGACAGTCAGTACATTTCTTACATAGGTTTTTATTTTTTTTACACTTAGTCCTTTAGGATACAATGCATGCATGTCACGACACACATGCAGATGTCACAACACACATGCAGATGTCATGACACACATGTAGATATCAACTTGCAGGTGTCACTTTTCACCTTTTATTTACCTCATGTGTCCTGAGGATCAACTCAGGTCATCAGCTTGACTGCAAGCACCTTCGCCCTCCGGGCCGTCTCACCAGCCTGTCCTTCCGTGTATACATACTTCACACTAGGGTAACAATGGGGCAGGCTGAAGCCCTGAGTGTGTGTGGCCTTGGGTGGGGCCTCTTTTTCCTGGTCAGCCTGGACACTTTCTGAGAACCTCAAGCAAGACCTTGGTTAAGTAAAGATGTCTTATCAGTCTGCAGCTGGGGGCCAGGTGTTTTCTTCACCGGTTGTTCTTGTATGGATGCCCCAGAATCCCCCTGTGAACTCAGGAGCTTTGAACCCACCCAGATCCTATGAAGACTTGGAGCCAGGGCTCCACATCAGAGAAGTTGGCACCTGAATGCTGGGGGTCAGGGGGGGGCTTTCTCTCTCTTAACCCTCATGCTTAAAGTCTTTGGTGGGGGGTTGAGATAAAATCCAGAGAGGTAGGTGATACTGGCTTGTGGTCCATCACTGTGGGTGGAGGCCGTGGATCCTGGCAACCCCTGGACATCCAGCCTAGCCGAAAGAGTGGGCTCTAAGCTAAGGAGAATGTCCTCTGGTCTCCACACACAAGGGGAAGAAGTGGGATTTAGATCAAGCCTGGCGGTGAGGCACACTTGTCACAATAGCACTGGGAGACAGAGGCAGGATCCCGAGTCCAAGGCTAGCCCAGGCCAGTTGTCTCTTCCTGATTCCAAAAAGGATTGCTTCCCCCCTGTGAGCCATTTGTTGGTGACTCCTGGTGGCAGCGGGGGTGGGGGAGTGGGGTGGGGTGGGGACTTTATCAACAGGCGCTGTGGAATGTCTTTCTGTGTACTGTGAATATATGTTGCTCTGATTGGTTGATAAATAAAGGCATTTGGCCTATGACAAGGCAGCTTAGAGGCAGGTGGGAAAATCCAAGAGAGACAGAAGAAAGGAGAGTGGGACAGACACTGCTAGCCACCGCCAGGAGAAGCAAGATGTAAAGTACCAATAAGCCACAAGCCATGTGGCAAAGTATAGAGTTATAGAAATGGGTTAATTTAAGATATAACAGCTAGCTAGCAAGAAGCCTGCCATGGCCATACTTTAAAAATAACATAAGCCTTTGTGTGTTTACTTGGGTCTGAGCAGCTGCAGGACCAGGTGGGACACAGGAAAACTTCCGACTACAAACAGGATCTTGGAACTCAGGCCTCCTTAACTGTGAGCTAATTGAATTTATGTTACTCAGCCTCAGAGATTTTGTTACAGCGACAGAAAATGGTGTCATGCATTTGGCTATCTTTCTGTTCTACTTCATTTTCATTAAGATGCCTGCGGTGAGTTGTGGGAGTCTGCTGGAATCCAGCTCCAACCTGCTCCCACCTTTTGAAGGGTTCTTGTATGGTGGAGAGAGGTACAAGGAAATATTAGGTAGAAAGATAGAAAGAGACGATAAAAAAGACAGAGACACAGGATAGCATCAGGAGGGGCCTGGGTCAATACCCAGCTGCCCAGTCTTTTATTCAAAAGGGCTTTTTATAATATGCCAAGGGGAGAGGCAAAAGATTTCCCCCATCAAGACCAAAGCACACTGTACAGCCAAGTGTAGACCTTTCCAAACACCTGGTAAACATGTCCATGGCCAAATCATCTCCTTATGCAGCCCTGCTGTGTAAATCAAGCTCAGATTCTCTGACCCTGAGTAAGTTCTCACTAGGAAGCCTCTGTGGGCCCCCACAGGTCCCCCTTCTTAATAATATAAAGGGCCCCTCCCACCCCTCAGGTTGACTGTGCCTGTCTTAGGTCACCTTTTTCAACCGGACAGTTGCCCGTCTTTGAGATACCCTTTCCAACATGTACTCTCTTAGGTTGACAACTAGCAAGAAGGGCTTACCCATCTCTGACTACCAGCTTCTGGCAGGGAAAGCATAACTCCATGCAACGCTGAAGCAGGTTTTCCATTAAGAGTTTGCAAATAGCTGAAAGAATTATAGCAATACTCCTGCTCCTTATGGCTACTATATCTCCTAGTAAAGGAGTAGAGAATAAACAAGATGGAATGGCTTTTTGTTTTGTTTTATTTTTCAAGACAGGTTTCTCCATTTAGTTTTGGTGCCTGTCCTGGATCTCTCTCTGTAGACCAGGCTGGCCTCGAACTCACAGAGATCTGCCTGGCTCTGCCTCCCGAGTGCTGGGATTAAAGGTGTGCACCACTGCCACCCAGCCAGGAATGGCCTTTTTAAATGGATCTAAGATGACTGCAGCAGCCTTAGCTGCACCAAGCCCTTTTTTAAATCAATAAACTCCTGATGCAACCACATCAAATAAATCAGTAAACTGATGCATATGCATCAAGTCTAAAGAATCCTTAGCATCAACATTAACATTAATAGGTTAACATCATAATGCTAGTATGATTACTGTACACAATTACAATTCTCACAAACTTACATCCAAAAGCAAACTCTTTTTTTTTTAAAGATTTATTTATTTATTATGTATAAAGCGTGTATGACTGCAGGCCAGAAGAGGGCACCAGATCTCATTACAGATGGCTGTGAGACATGTGGTTGCTGAGAACTGAACTCAAGACCTCTGGAAGAGCAGTCAGTGCTCTTAACCTCTGAGCCATCTCTCCAGCCCCAAAAGCAAACTCTTAATAGAACTATTTACAGTTTACAAACTTTAGCAAACATCCAAAAGCAATCTCTTAATAGAACTTTTTATACTTTTTGCTAACAAAACATAGGGTACATTAACACAAGTTAACATTAATCCACTCAAGGAAGAAGAAAAATTTTTTTAAATTAAAGAGACTGAGGAATATTAACTCCCCCTTTTGTTTATAATTTTTTTTTTTTTTTGGTTTTTCAAGACAGGGTTTCTCTGTGTAGCTTTGCGCCTTTCCTGGTACTCGCTTTGGAGACCAGGCTGGCCTCGAACTCACAGAGATCCACCTGGCTCTGCCTCCCGAGTGCTGGGATTAAAGGCGTGCGCCACCACCGCCCGGCTGTTTATAATTTTTTAAGGCTTGAGTCTGGGTAGAAAAAAAAAAACAAACTTCTCTATTTCTGTATAAACAGTTCTGGAGTCATCACAGTTTTATACACAAAACAGTTCCATTTCAATTGAACCACTCCTGTCCATTCCATTTCTTAAGCCTGAAAAGTTCAAAAAGTCAGTTCTGATACCAGTCTTAATGTTTAATTGAACACTTAAAATCAGCACCTGGCTCACCAACTGCCCTGAAGGATTTGTATAACTGTCCAAGTCATAATGCAAACCATTCCCATGCACCATGAGCATTTTTTTTTTCAGTTTTGGGTCTACCCATGTTTAGTTGAATCTGAGGCAAAGGGGAGGGCTCACCCCCCACACCCAGGTGGGTCTCAGCTGCCCCTGTGGTTCCTGCCACTGCTGCTTGCCTCTGAGGAGGAGGAGGAGGAGGAGGAGGAGGAGGAGGAGGAGGAGGAGGAGGAGAAGGAGGCTATGTGCAGACTGGGAGTCCCAGCATGGTCCCCTTGAGACCTGGGGGACTTGGTACTGGTCTGATGAGCCACCGCCAGGGGCCTGCCGCCACTGCTCGCTTTCTGAGAAGCTTCAGTGAGCACATTCTTGGTCCCTTCCCTCCTGTGTCCCAGGTCTGCAGCTCCTCTGACCTGGGAGGTTGCAGGGCTACTTGGCTGTGGCTGCCAGCATTTTGGGCTGCTGACTGGTGACTTTCCCAGGCCTCTCTGCATAGCAATTTTCACTTGGCTCACCTCAGCTGTCCTCCACCTTCTCCAGGGGCCTGGTGAGCACTAGGCCTCCAGTGCTCAGCACACCAGGTCCTGGAAGCCTCTGTGCACTGCCCTGCTATCATAGCCTAACACCAGCCTTCAAGGCAGCCCAAGGGCTCCCATTGCTAGGGACTCAGACCCTGCTCTTTTCATTGCAAGGAGGATTTCAAAATCTTCGCTGCACTCTCCACATCCCAGGCACCTCCCACCCTGGTGTTCTGTCAACTAGTAGCTGACAGAACTACCTCCACTACAGTTCTACCCTGGGGCGGGGGGGGGGGGGGGGGGGTTTGCTGCACCACCTCGGCAAGGACCCCAGTGTCCCTGGAATGCACTCAAACTCAGAGGCACCCGCTCCCTGGTCCTCCTGGTATGCACCCTGCTGGCATCTCTGGAGGCTTTGTCTCTCTCGAAGTCCAAGAAGCCCTGCACGCTCGCCTCCTCCAGCTGCCTGCAGACAGACCTGCTCTGGCTCTTACAAGCACTCTGGCTGACCGCACTCTCCTCATGTCGCTAGTTCATGGCTGAAAGCATGCAGAACCCTGCTGCTCTCACTGGCTCTTGCTATGTCTGCCCCCTGCGCTGCGATGGTGCCCCGCAGGTCTCAGCCACTGACGTTTGGCTGGGGCAGCTGCTGTTCCCTCTGTTGCTGCTTCTGCTGCTGCCGCTTGCAGGGGGGACTTCTGAAGCTGCTCTCAGACCGCCAAGTCTGCAGCAGCTGCTTGGTCCCAGATGATGCTTTCTGTGTCCCAGGTCCCACACTGGGGAAAACATACTCTAAGTTTCTATTAAACCTTCCCTATATCCCTGTACCTAAAGCCTATCTTTCTCAAAACTTTTATGACTTACTTTAAGAGAGAGGCAAAGACAGAGAGAGATACTTGCTGCAGCCTAACTTAAAATACTCTGCTTTATATTTACAATTTTACTCCCGAAGAATGGAATACAACTGTGCTATGGGATGTTCTGTATGGCAAATGTGTTGCTAATTAGTCAATAAATAAAACACTGATTGGCCATTGGCTAGGCAGGAAGTGTAGGTGGGACAAGGAGGAGAATAAAGCTGGGAAGTGGAAGGCTGAGTCAGAGAGACACTGCCAGCCACCATGATGACAAACAGCATGTGAAGATGCCGGTAAGCCACAAGCCATGTGGCAAGGTATAGATTAATGGAAATGGATTAATTTAAGCTGTAAGAACAGTTAGCAAGAAGCCTGCCACAGCCATACAGTTTGTAAGCAATATAAGTCTCTGTGTTTACTTGGTCGGGTCTGAGCGGTTGTGGGACTGGCAGGTGAGAGAGATTTGCCCTGACTGTGGGCCAGGCAGGAAAACTCCAGCTACACCACTGCACTCCAGTTAGTTCCGAGCATGCTCCCTTAACCTGAGGTGTTCTTTCTCTTTATCCTCTGTACCCAAGGTCCCTGTTTGGGCACCATATGTGGGAGTCTGTCAGAGTCCAGCTCTGACCTGCTCCCACCTTTTGAAGGGTTCTTGAGTGGAGGAGAGAGGAACAAGGAAATATTAGGTAGAAAGATAGAAAGAGACAATAAAAAAGACAGAGACACAGGATAGCTTCGGGAGGGCCCTGGGTCAATACTGCTGCCCAGTCCTTTATTCAAAAGGGCTTTTCATAATATGCCAAGGGAAGAGGCAAAAGACCTCCCCCTTTCAAGATCAAAGCACACTGTATAGCCAAGTGTAGACCCTCCCAAACACCTGGTAACCATGCCCATGGCCAAATCATCTCCTTATGCAGCTCTGCTGGGTAAATCAAGCTCAGATTCTCACTAGTAAGTAAGTAAGTAAGTAAGGTCTCACTAGGAAGCCCCTGTGGGCCACCGTAGTGAGTGGTCCCATTGATCCCCACACTTTCTTCTTACCAATTCGAATGTGAGGAAGCCTGAGCTAAAGCTTATTTGCTTTGCAATAACCATCTCTTTAGTGCAGACTAGTTTTATTTATTTATTTGTTGGTTGGGTTTTTTTTG